ACTTCCGTAGTGATAACTGCCTCGGAAACCCAAGGAGGGGTCGCTATGAGTCGGGGCCAACTCGACGGCAAATAACAACAACAACAACAATGGTTTTGGTGGAGAGAGAAATATTTGGATTGGAGAAGCAAGATAGTATGTGCTCAACTGATTTTTGAAAAAGGTACAAAAGCAATTCTTTGGAGGAAAGATAGCCTTTTCAACAAATGGTGGTATAGCAACTGGAAACCCATAGCAAAACGAAACAAAACCTCAAGATAAAACTCACATCTTATACAAAAGTTAACACAATATTAATCACAGAGATTCAACATAAGAAATCAATGTAATGCACCACATTAATAGACTGAAGGAAAGACACACACACACATACACACACATCATCTTGATGTAGAAAAAGTCTCTTGAAAACTCCAACACCCTTTCATGGTTAAAAAAAAAAAAAAAAGAATAGAAGGGAGATTTCTTAACAAGACAAAAGGCATTTATGGGAAAAAAAAAACAAAAAAACAAAAAAAACACAGCAAACATCATCTTCAAGGGTGAAAGACTGAAAGCTTTCCTCCTAAGATCAGGATGCTTGCTTTCACCAGTTACTCAACACTATACCGGAAGTCCTAGCTAGAGCAGTTAGGCAAGAAAAAGAAATAAAAGGCATATAAACTGAGGAAGAAAAAATAAAGTGCTATGTACAGATGAGGGAGCTCTGGTAGCATAGTGGCTAAGACTTGACTGCTAACCAGAAGGCTGGCGGTTCAAACCCACCAGCCTCTCCTCAGAAGGAAGGTTGGGCAATCCTACTTCCGTAGTGATACTGCCTCGGAAATCCAAGGAGGGGTCGCTATGAGTCGGGGCCAACTCGACGGCAAATAACAACAGCAACACGTACAGATGAAGTACTATATATAGAAAATCCTAAAGAATTCTCAAGAAAGCTACTAGAGCTAATAAACGAATTCAGCAATATTGTACAGCACAAGTTTAGCAGACAGAAGTCAATTGTATTTCTATATACCAGCAGCAAATTATCTGAAAATGAAATTAGGGAAACAATTTCTTTTGCAATAGCATCTAAAAGAATAAAATACCTAAGAATGTACTTCCTTTACCAAGGAGGTTAAAGACTTTTACATTGTGAAATATAAAATTCTGCTCTAAGAAATTAAAGAGTATTTAAAGAAATGGAAAGCAATTTTGTGTTCCTGGATTGGAAGACTTAGTATTGTTAAGATCACAATTCACCTATGAAAATTCCAACAGGATTTTTTTGCAGAAATGGAAAAGCTGATCATCAAATTCATATCATTGCAAGGGGTCCCAAATAGTCAAAACAAAGGAGGACTCATGCTTCTCAATTTTAAACTGTATTGTAAACCTACAGTACTCAAAATAATGTGGTCCTGGTAAAAATACAGACATATAGCCTAATGGAATCGAATTGATAATCCAGTAGTAAACCCATATGGCCAACTGATTTTCAATAATGGTGATAAATTAATTCACTCTGAGAATAGTTCAGTGCATGGTGCTGGGACAACTGGATCTCTACATGCAAAAGAATGATGAGAAATGGTCCTCACAATGTATACAAAAATTAAGATGAATCAATGACCAAAACACAAGTTTAAACCATAAAACTCTTATAAGTAAACATAGGGGTAAATTTGAGGGTTTTCTTTTAGAGAATGAATTCTTAGATATGACATCAAAAGCACAAGCAACAGGAGAAGAAATGGATAAACCAGACTTCATCAAAATTAAAAACTTATGCACATCAAGGCACATTATCAAGAAAGTGAAAAGACAACCTACAGGATGGGAGAAAATATCTGGAAATCATATATCAGATAAGGGTTTATTATCCAGAATGTACAAAGAACTCTCAATGCTCAACATCAGTAAGACTAACAACCCATTTAAAAATTGTGAAAGGATGTTTGCCAAAGAAGAGAGATGAATGGCCAGTAAGCACATACAAAGATGCTCATCATCAGTCACTATTAGGGAAATGTGAATCAAAATCACCTGATACACTACTTGATTATTATTTACAAGGAGGGGGGGAGCTCTGGTGGCATAGTGCCTAAGGCATTTGACTGCTAACCAGAAGGCTGGCGGTTCAAACCCACCAGCCACTCCTCAGAAGGAAGGTTGGGCAATCTACTTCTGTAGTGATACCACCTTGGAAACCCAAGGAGGGGTCACTATGAGTTGGATCTGACTCCACGGCAGTGTGTTACGGAGAAATTGGACACTTGTATGTTGCTAATGGGAATGAAAAATGGTACAGCTTCTGTGGAAAACAATTTGGCAGTTTCCAGAAAAACTTAAATAGGGAATATTACAGTATGGTCTAGCAACTCCACTTCAAGGTATGTATATACCCTAAAGAATTGAAGGCAGTGACTCAAACAGACATATGTACACCAGTGTTCACTGCAGCATTAATCACAGCAGCCAAAAGGTTGAAAGAGCCCAGACATCTATCAGTAAACAAAGGATAAAGAAAATGTGGTATATCATACAATGGAGAAAAATGAAGTTCTAGTATATGCCACATGGATGATTCTTGATAATATTGTGCTAAGTAAAAAATACATGAGCCAAAAGAATAAGTGTTTTTTTCATTCTACTTTTATGAAATATCTAGAATTAGCAAATGTATTGTTCTAGTTACCCAGTGCCACTCTGACAGGAATATACCACAAATGCGATGGCCTTAACAAACAGCAGTTTATTCTTACAATTTGGAGCTTTAAGTCGAAGTTCAAAGTGCCAGGTTCTAGGGGCTGGGTGAAAGCCCCTCAACCTTGGGATCCAGCTCTGCCTCCTGTTCTTGGCCCACTGGAGCTAGAGGTGTTTCTTCACTCAGACAGCTGCTGGCTGCTGAGGCTGAGAAACCCCAAGGTTGACAAGTAAAAAGGCACAGTCCCGATGTTACCAAACAGCAGGCCATTGACTTAAGTCCATTGTAAGTCCTAAGGTGGGCAGAGCATAGCAGGCTGCTGAGCAACGACACGGCTACATGCAGAGTCCAAGCATGCCAAAGGCTAGATAGCCATTTCCAAGGCGTCTCCTTAAATAGAGGAAGCAGACCACATTCCCAAAGGCAGTTACTCAGCTGCTTGTGGTAGATTCCACCATGGAGCTGATTGCCAGTCTCATCATGGGGAATAACTATCACCAGCTGCCCAGCCACTCAACCAGGCCCAGCCAAGTTGACAAACATAACTACCACATGTATTAAGGCAAAAGATGATTAGTGATTACCAGGCCTGGGAAAAGGGGGAAACGGGGAGGTTTTAAAAAATGGATCACATATTTCACTGAACCTAGAACTATAAAATTTTAGAAAAAACAAAAAGACATAAAACTAGTGAAGATTTTCTAGATTTGACACCAGAAGCATGAGCAATAAAAGATAAAAACTGATCATTTGACCTTATCAAAATTGAAAATATTTACTCTGAAAGATCTAGTGAAGAGAATGAAAAGAGTGACTACAAATTGAGAAAAGATATTTGCAAACCACACATCTGGCAAGAGACTAGTATATCTAATCTAAAAAAAAAATCAGCATTGAAAAAAATTTATTACATGTACATACATAGGTATCTACAACTACCTCAAACTAAAATGTTTAATTAATCACAAAAAGTAGGAAGGATACATACTTCTTTCTCACCTTCCTCATAATCCTGAACCAGGGGGGAGATGAGCAGTGGTCTTTCAGGCTTTCCTACCCCAGCTTTCTAGTGTGGTGTGGACACATTAAACTGGGAAATTATTTTCTCTGACTTGCTGTTATTATAGGGCAGAGACACGTAATGAAATCAGCCTTGAAAGCCTGCCAAATGTTAGGCAAGGTTAGAAATGTGGCATGAGCTGTGGAGGCAATTCCATTCCTTTGTTTCCAAATACAGAAATGAAACCTGACTTCTTTTGAACTGAGACCAATGAGACCAGTGACAAGGCGATATGAAACATCCAGTTGTTCACTGGCAAGCCTTGATATGTGAGCAACAGTCATGCCTCTAAAATGGAGCTGGCAGTGGTGAATGGAGTGGACTCTGTTGCTGTAGAACATCACAGCATTCCAGCTTGGCTTTGGAATAGTCCCCATCCTCTCTGGACCTCAGCATTTTGTCTGTGTCAAACAGAAAAAAAATATATATATATATATATATATATATATATATACATATATATTATTACAGTATAAATCATAGTAATGATTTGTGGAGTGTACAAAGAAAAATGGATTATTTTTTTGTTTGTTTACTTAAGCCACAGATTTACTTCAGATCATAAAAGAGGGTTAAAAATTTTATTTACTTTCTCATTTTAGTCATGGTTCATCAGGATGCATTAAGATCCAGAACCAAAGGTTATATGAAATTGGAGGAAATATAGGTGAGTGTTCTTTAATAATTTTTACTCTAAATCCTCTGACTACTCTAAAAGAAATGTGTTGCTATTATTAAAGTATATTCTATAAGTTTCTTTGACAAAATTTAAAATCAGTAAGTTTCTGACTTTCCAATCTCATCTAAGAACAATTGCATTATTTTTCTAGAATATTTTCTAAATTTAAATGGGAATATTTTAGTTTTGATATGGAATAGACTTTTGGGTTTTTTAAAGTTGGAAAGTCTCTTTTTGGGGACTCATGCAAACCAATAGAGGAGAGAACATCATGAGAACTTTCAGAAGTATGAGACCCTTTTTTTTTTTTTAACTTCCCTATTTCCACTCTCAGTCAGAGGTCACTTTTCATATTTCCCTGATGGGGTGGAAAATGAATCAGAAGATAATGTCCACATCTTCCTTTACACTTACTTCTCCCTTACTGACTATCTTGTTATCCAATATTTTGCATTCATGATAATAGTAAAAGATCTACTATCTTACTATTTTGTGCATTAACGACATACATCTGGCCAAAATGAATGCTGAGGTGCAAGGCAAGAGTAATGCTGGGGGTGATGATTAAGGTTGTATGCTAGCTTGGCTGGATCATGGCAATTACGTAATGATGTAATTTGTCAGTTATATAACAATGTAGTCATCCTCCGTTTTGTGATCTGATGTGGTCATCCTCCCTTTTTGCATGATACCTATTTTCTCATTAACAACTTGGTCTTTGGAATCTAACCATATTGATAAATGAGGAGTAGATAGAATTGCATCCCTGCCCTTAGACTACACCTGCCCTCCTAGTATGGAGGAACTCTTTCTGCCCCCTTTTAGGGCCAGCACTTCCCCTGGCCTCACTTGACAGAACTCGGCCCTCCGCAGGGCATGGCTCTAGGAAAGTCCTACACTCTCCTGCATCACCAGTGCTTCCCTCTCAAAGGTATCAATTCCATCTGCATAAAAACTTACAGTATTTTCTCTCAGATTTACAAAACTCTATCTTAACTTCCTTCAAGTTTAATCCCATTTCTCTCTTCCACTTTAAAACAAAAATTCCTTGAAGAAGTTATCTGTACTCCAATTTCTTCCCCCCTCTTCCCTATTGAAGGAGCTCTGGTGCTATAGTTTTTAAAGCACTTGGCTGTTAATCACAATGTTGATGGTTCAAATCCACCAACCACTCCAAGAGAGAAAGATGATTCAGTAACAGTTTATAGCCTTGGAAACCCTATAGGGCAACTCTACTCTGTCCTATAGGGTCACTATGAGTTGGAATCAACTTGATGGCAGTTGGTTTGGCTTGGTTGGCTTGGTTTGGTTTACTCCCTCTTGACTCCATTTCAGGCAGGCTTCACCCCCACCACTCCACTTTGATTGCACCCTTGTCAAGGTCATCAGAGAAATCTTAGGTTATAAAATCCAATAGTTCCCTTTCAATGGTTGTGTTCCTTTACTGAGTTAATCTTCCCCTTCTTTTAAAAACATTCCCTCCACTTCAATGGTTGCCGTTTTTAGGAAGTCGACTTGCTGAGGCATTGCTGTCCCTAGAATTCCAGTCCCTAGAATGATGCCTGACATATAATAACTCTCAATAAATAATTGTTGAATGAATGGATGAATCAAGCAAGCAAATCTTGGTAATTTATGAGAGACAGAGGTGTACATTCCAAATGCACTGTGCACAAAGATAGTCAAATTCTGTACTTGTCCTATGGAATAATTTTCTCATTTTTCTTTCCAGATTTCTTGCCTATGTATAGTAAAGGTGTATAGAACATATACACCTACATGTATAGTAAAGGTGGGGGTGTGCATGACCATTCCTAACATTTATTTGCTTGAATCTTCTCTATTCCTGGTCACTTTTCTATCTGTAAAACCAAGTTCTTGCCATATTTTTCCATTTGAAGTGGTGAAGCTAGGAGCAATTTGCCTGATTATATGTGTTTCTGCTGTTGGACATGAAATTTAGTTGAAGTATGTCACAATCTTTAAAAAGTAAAACAAGGCTTTTTTCTAAGAAAATTTGAAATATATCTACTTGTTTTTGTCTTAGAGAACTAGACTGGCCTTATTTGAACCTTACAAATACACATACACACAGAGAGAAAAGCATGCACTCTGAAACACATTCTCTGATTTTCTCTTTCTTTTAGGGCAACATTGCTTGGATCCAGATGCTTATATTTTGGATGTATATCATGTAAATCCTCATGCTGAGTGGGTGATTAAACCCCAGTCAAGTTTTTGAAGTACTCTTAAAAATGGACACTGCACTGGTAGGGGGAAAAAAAGATCGGCTTTGACATACTCATTTCTCTAATCCTCTTGATGTTTCTGGGCCCCAAGTCCTGGTGTCTTGTGGCATCATCAGTGTGAACATTGGAAGAAGAGCTGGTTAATCGTTTGAGCTGAAGCTTTCTTATGCTGCTTCCTTGAAAAAGTAAAGGAAATGGCATGTGATCCTTCCAGAAGGAAGGCCAATCTAGAATACTGAACTTTCATCATTTCTAGTATTTTGATTTCACAGAAGAAATGAAGTTGGCCTTATACCTGGAGATAAGAAATACTTCTGTTTGTAGCAAATGCTACCAAACACAAGAGGTGAATGAGACCCTGTTTTATACTTATATTATACACATACATTGACATTTTTGAGCAAGAATGGCTACAATGTCCATAATTTTTGCTCAGCAATATTTCCAAAGGGAATTCAATTTCTAAAGTTAAGCATACAATATTTATGCGTCTGACTCACTCCTGAATTGCAGGAGGAGGAAGTTTTGTTTAGAGAAAACTGTGTTATTTGTGTACATCATGCTATATTATGACTATCGGCATTCTGGTGCAAATGGACATTAATCTATCATTGACTCCATTGAAATTTGTGTTTTTAAAGCTTATTTGTTTATAAGCACATGTCCCCATAGAGAAGCATACTTTGGCAAAAGGTATCCTGCTTTCACAATTTTCCTTATAGTCATAAGCCACAGCCCATTTTCTGCTCATGTGCTGGGCACAATTTCTTTTTCTCATCAAATACACCGTTTTGTATATTTTACGACTGTAAGTAGTCACTTTCTCTGCCACAATTTTAAAGATACCAAATTGCTTTTATCCACGAGTACTGAAAATGTAGCTATACCCAGGTTTTACATGCTCTAAGAGCCCAGTTTGCTTGTGCTCATTAATCATAGACATGGCCAACCACTATATATTGGCATCCCACTTTAAAAATGGGCAGATGTTTGGTTAGCAGGAAACAATCTTGCTATCAAGATTCTGTGGAGTCATTTTCCAAACCTGCAAGTGGCCAGAACACACAGTCCCCTGCGATTCTCATTTAGAGCAAATCTATAATGTGCTCAGGGATTGACAGCTCTGCCTTACTTCTTGAGACTGTGGAGCTAGTGCTTCTAGAATAGTTACATGGAGACAGAGTTATCATTTGTCCCAGGGGTGTTCCATAGATTGGAATGCAAAGATTGAGCTTTTTATGAATTTATATGAGTTTTAAAAGAGTTTTGAAGCCCAAATGACTCCCTTTCTCTATCCTTCTGTCTTGCATTTCAAAAAATTTACGGGAAAAAAAAAACTTGCTGATAAATACAGAAGATATCTTACTTTACACACTCACCAAGTCTCAACACATAAACAAAGAAGAAAAAACCCAACTCACTGCTTTTAAGTCAGATCAGACTCTTAGTGACCCCCTCCTTGAGTTTCCGAGGCAGTATCACTATGGAAGTAGATTGCCCAGTCAATACATAATGTGATATAATTTAATTTAAGCCCATATGTGGAAGAAATCTTTCATATGCTGCATTATACCTTAATGCCTATACAAAACATTCCTTATATTCAACATGTGGGTAATTGCATTTCTGGCCATTAGGATGTTTTCATATTTTCAGAGAAAACTCGAAGATCCATTCATTTGATTTCTGTATTTGAGACTCTTGATTTCCTTTGCCTGATAACTCATTGGGAAGTAAAATTGCATTCTGTAGGTTTATATTTATTACCACATTTCATCAGTATTCAATGTATGGCTAAGTGATGGCATGGGAATTTAAGTAATGAATTTAGACCGTCTGAAAAAAAAATTTGTTTTAATAGCATTACAGTTTAAAAAACAGGCACAAAACTTACTCATAAATAAAGTGAACATTTCACTTCATGTAGTTGCTAAGTACCAAGAAATAGAATGCCAGTAATTTAATGTCCAACACAAATAAGTTTTTCTAGTGGCTACTTTACACTTCTATGTATTTATGAAATTATGACTGAGTTTCCTCATTTTATTTCTGTTTATTAGAATGGCTAATTTCTGTTGTGCTTATATAGAAAAGTCACAGATTTATTCATTTACTTTCTATTTTTGAATTTTTATTTTGACTGAAAGCACATTAGAACCTATATATAAGTTCTAATGCTTTAAAAATTTACTCCAGCTTCTCATCAATTTTTCATAAATAGCCCACAGATAGCATGTAAAGTGCAACATGTTTCTGAATATCTTACCCAGTTTTGTGTGGTTTAGAGATCAAAGGCTGCTGGATCAATACCTGTAGCTGCAACACTTCAGTTTGTTCAAGAACGTTTGGCAACTTTCAGATATCTATAAAATATGGAAGCCACATGTCAATACCAACAATATTGGATTTAACTTTTATTCATAGTCATAAAGTTAACTGACTTTAGAGGAATTTTAGTAGCCACATTAATATTTGAATGGCTAGAAGATTTTTTAAAAAAATTAATTTTATTGTTAAAGAATAAATAAAGCCCTACAATTAAAATTTTAAAGTGCCTGTCACCTAACTATTGAAAGACTATCTTTGCATCATCAAAGAGTTCCTTTAAAATAGTTCAGTAACTAATCTGTAAATGTGACTAGTGTATTTACGAACAACAGTTCAGATACTGAGCTTCTAAATTCTATTCTTAATAGCGTCCCACCCCACTACATCCCAACTACTTTTGATATACAGTTAGGAAAGAGTATAATCATCCAGTAAAGTATTAGAGGAAGTTAACTTTTAGGAAGACTTATTCAGAAAAAAAAAAAAATCATAAAGCTGGCTTATTATTCCCCTCCATTCTGCAAGAAAGGATGCCTTTGTTAAACAGCTTAGTTGGGGATATAATTCTTGGGGTCAGTGATCTTTGAACAAACTGGAATGTTAATTTTCTTACAATGTACATACAGTAAAAACTACCTCACTTGCCTTTCTTGGGAGACAACTAATGGACTTTAACAATTTTTGTTACAAACTGTTGTGAGTCTTACTATTTAAGTCACTTCAGTTAGCTTTCAGTGTACAACTAATAATACACATTTAATGATGTAAAATCCTTTTAGCAAAAGCTTTAACACTAAAATTACTTTGTAACTGTGATCTGATCTACTCAAGACAATTTGTGTCCCTTTGTCATTGTGTTGTGTTTCTAGCCATTAACTGTTTAGGTGTAGATTTTCAAGTGTAGGAATTAATATTCATGTTTTCCTTCAGACATTTTTTAACTGCTTTCCATATATTGCACTTGACTGAAAACTAACATCAGGTCAAAATATATCTTCTTTCTTTCAAGCGTATCTGAAATATTTTTCACAAATGTATTACTTGCCTGAAAAAAATAATTATAAGATTAAGTAGTTCCTATTTTATGACAAGCATTTTTCAGCTGTTATCCATAAATATGTCACTTAATAAAATAATGTGGCATGGGATGAAAATGTTTCTTTCAAGTGTTTTCAGTAGTTTCACACAAACACACAACATACCTTTCAATTTAAAGAGGATCTTTCAGGCATTTTTCCAACTATATTCCTAAAAATATGTATTTTGATTGAAATATCATATGACGTCATGAGATAAAGCCAGTATTTGTATATTTTCTCTTATCTCAAATGTAATAGATTCTTTTGTCCCATCAATTTTCATTGTTAACTAGAATGTGTATGTTGCATTTTTTTTTTGTATGCTGCATTTTAATCCATAAAAATAAAGAGGAAAATGTAATAGATTCTTTTGTCCCATCAATTTTCATTGTTAACTAGAATGTGTATGTTGCATTTTTTTTTTTGTATGCTGCATTTTAATCCATAAAAATAAAGAGGAAAATATAAACTAAAAGCTTTGTCACAAGAATTCTTATATTCATCTGTTTCCTAAAAAATGCCAGGGCCCAGCCCTGGAGCTGTGCAGCCAGTAGTCCACACCAGAGTTCCAGGAAAAGAAGAGAGTTTAATTAGGAGGTACACCAACGAAAGATGGATGGGGTCTCATTGATGCCAAAAACAACCACTCTGCTCAGAATTTGAATTGGGAGCTCTGGTGGCACAGTGCCTAAGGTATTTGACTGCTAACCAGAAGGCTGGCAGTTCAAACCCACCAACCACTCTACGGAAGTAGATTGCCCCATCTTCCTTCCAAGGAATGGCTGGTGGGTTTGAACTGCCAACCTTCTGGTTAGCAGTCAAGTGTCTTAGGCACTATGCTACCAGACCTCCCCTCTTACAGTTTAGGAGGCTAGAAGTCCAAATTCAGAGTGCCAGCTCTAGAGGCTGGGTGAAGGCCCCTTGACCTTGGGCTTCAGGTCTGCCTTTGTTCCAGGCCCACTGGAGCTGAAGGTGTCTCTTAACTTAGGGAGTTGCTGGCTGCTGAGGCTTGTGAACATGGCACAATCCCAAGGTCAGCCTGCAACACAGCAGGTTCAAGTCCTAGAACAATCCCAAGATTGGGAGGCAGGCAGCACAGCAAGCCACTAGTTCAAGGCCAGGCACTGGAGATGAAGACTCAGCCAAATAGAGGAGCCAATTGTGCCAAAATCTAGAGACCTTTCCCAAAGCATCCCCTTATATAACTAGATGCAGGCCACACCCAAAGGCAGCTCCCTTTCCACTGATTAAGGTCCCACAGCAGATTCCATCATGGAGGTGATTACAATCTCATTATGGGGAATAACTACACCCAGCTTCCAAGCCACTCAGAACCAAGACCCAGCCAAGCTGACACACGACCTTAACTACCACAGCATCTTAACCAAAAATACAGAGTTTCATTCTAACAATATGGAGTCGGGTCTAACAAAGCAAAAGTCTTTATCCTCACACATGTAGTCTCGGGGCCTTAGTTTCTTAGTCCTGCTATAGCAGAAATTTATTTTCTCACAATTTAGGAGGGTAGAATTCCAAATTCAGGGTGCCAGCCAGGGGAAGGTTTTCTGTACAGCAGCTCTTGGGAA